ACGTCATCATTGGGCGTGGCAAGTCAAAACTGGGTGTGGGGCTTCTTTGTACGGATATGATCTTTGTTTGTAAATTTCATGACCTTAGCATTATTGGTTCCAGAGATACAGAGGGGGGGTCCGAGGAGCCCCCCCCCAGTCACAGATTGACCAAAAAAGCCCAGTCTGAATAGGGTTAAACGAAGAGAGCTTCTTAAACCAGATATCGCTAAGCCTTATCAGTCTGTTTGTAACAAGTCTAACACCACTACAACTTGTTTGTTTGCGGAAGAATTGCACAACCATATTAAGGAGATCGGAGAGGTCAATAAGATATCTAGGAAGGTGTGTGGCCGTCCGACTTCAATCAAGAACACGGTCAGTTCTTACAAGAGAGGGTCTGATGCACCTAGCAGGAACTATACCCACAGAGGTCTGGCGGAAACTCCACTTTTTTAGGCTACCGAAGTCGTGGAAGTTACTTTCACGACCGGCAACAATTAGGAGGACGATCAGTTCCAATAACCAGCACCAAACCACAGAAGGACAAAGTGTAAACAAGGTAAATGTACACTCTGTACCTAGTTTGTTACAGGCTGGTAGTTTATCTAGGAATTTACCCAAATGGAGGGAGTTAACTAGTGATCCATGGATCTTATAAACTGTCTCAGGTTATCACCTTGAATTTGAGACAACCCCTCATCAAGTCAATCTTCCAAAGTTTCCTAAATTTAGTGAAAGGGAAACTGCTTTAATTGAGGCAGAGATTAAAAAGCTAATTTCCAAGGGCGCTGTGACTAAGTGTCTCGTTGTGATAAAGAATTCATTTCTACAGTCTGTTTGGTTCCCAAGAAGACCGGGGACTTTCGGCCAGTTATAAACCTTAAGCCCTTAAATCAATTTGTCGAAAAGATTCATTTTAAGATGGCGAATAACCGCTTGGCCTTGAATTGTACTTCTCCTGGGGACTTCATACTCTCTATTGACCTTAAGGATGCTTATTTCAGTGTACCTATTTTCCAGCCCCATCGTAAATACTCACGTTTTCTTTGGAATTTCAAGCGTTATGAGTTTACTTGCCTACCTTTTGGGTACAGCCTTGCACCCAGGGTTTTCACTAAGATTTTTAAGCCTGTTATAGCATATTTTAGATTTCTTGGCTTCAGGGTTATTATTTTCATTGATGATCTCATACTTATTGTAAGCTCTTATGATGAGTGTTTACAGCAACTTGAGGTCTTAAAACAAACTCTTTGTGAGTTGGGCTTTACTGTCAATGTTGAGAAATCTCAGCTAGTTGCTATCAGTGAGATCCTTTATTTGGGTTTCATAATTAATTCCATAGCAATGAGATTGCAGTTTCCGGCTGTTAAGTTAGAGAAAATAGTCTCGGCCTGTAAAGCCGCTAAAGTAACTGGGCTGTTAGTTTCTGCACTCCCGGCTGTGAATTACTGCATCTAAAGATGCATTACCGTTCCTTAGAATTATGCAAGACTCAGACTTTGACTGGAAGCCTTGATTACGACAAGACACTCTAGCTCACTCTCTTTAAGCTCTCAAGCTCGTTCTGATTTACGATGGGTCATTGAGAATATTACCCAGTGGAATGGTAGACTTTTTCAGGTTCCGAAAATTTATATGTACATCGGGAGTGATGCAAGTTTGATTGGTTGGGGAGCCGTGAGTGGTAGCCTGTCTGCATCTGGCCGATGGTCTCAAAGTGAATCCAAACATCATACTAATTACCTGGAACTTCTAGCATCATTTTATGGTCTCCAGTGTTTTGTGTCTAACTCAAGGTCTATTCATGTTAGACTTGCAGTTGACAACTCCACTGCAGTGGCCTATATTAATAATATGGGGGGTGTACGATCACCCTTATTAGATTCATTGTCCAGAAGTATTTGGGAATGGTGCAAGTTGAGGGATGTTTTCATTTCTGCTCAGCACATCCCAGGGAAGGTTAATACTCAGGCCGATACCTTATCCAGGGAAATCTCCTCTAATTTGGAGTGGTCCTTAAATGGTGAGGTTTTTCAGGAAATTATTTCTCGAACCTTTATTCCTGAGATTGACCTCTTTGCGCCTTTAAGGCTTAATGCCAAGACTGCAAAGTTTATCTCCTGGCACCCACAGCCAGGTGCAGTGGCTATAGATGCCTTTTCTTTGAGCGCTGGGCTAATGAATTGCTATGCCTTTCCTCCTTTTAGTTTGCTACCACAAGTACTAGTCAAGATTCGCCACGACAAAGCCTTAGTTTTGTTAATTGCACCGGTATGGCCTACCTAGAGTTGGTATCCACTTCTGTTACAGTTGTCAACAGTTCAGCCAATCTAGCTTGTTGCCTCTTCTAGACAACCTCCTGAGTCTCCCTCACAACCAAGAACAGCACCCGCTGAGACAGAAACTGAACTTGGCCGCTTGGACGTTATCAGGAAAACTCTGTCAAACAAGGGATTTTCGAAGCAAGCAGTTGACATCATCTGTGCATCTTGGACAGCAGGCACTGAGAAACAGTACAAGGGAGTGTGGGACAAGTGGTATGGCTGCTGTCATAAACGGCAAATTGATTTACTTCAAGCTTCTGTCATCCAGGTTGTGGAGTTCTTAACTGATTGTTATCATGAAGGAAAGGATACAGTACCATTAACACTTACCGTTCTGCACTATCTACAACGCTTTGTTCCATGAATGATGATCGAGATTCTCTTGGTTTACATCCTTGAATAGCGAGATTACTCAAGGGAGTTTACATTCTCAGACCACCTACTCCAAGGTATTCTTCTACATCGGATATTTCTAAAGTGACTGACTATTTAAAGACTTTAGCTCCTCTACCAGTTCGGGAGTATGCCAGTTTTGGAAGAAGCGAAAACAATGGTCTACGTCACCAACCATAACATGATCACCATGGCGATGGTCATTTTCAAAACATACAAAATGGCGGACAAGGGAGAGGAGAGGAAAGAGTATAGACCAAAATTCTCGTTTATTCTTGTTTTATCGAGCCTTTTATTTGTCTTTTCGTTACTATGAATTGGGAAGTACCTTGAGGACAGGGAATAACCATTCTTGCGCTATAGTTCTTCGTTTATCGCGCGCTTAGTAGGCACTGCGTACTCACTGCGTATGTAATCAGTGCATCGAAAATAGGTAAGCACGCTAACAAGTTTGTGCCTATTTATTTCATTATTTTTTTATATCATAAGGAAAAAAGAATGCTTTGGAAACAACTAAAAAGTAAGTTGTTCTATAATTCATTTCCTTATGTTTGCTTTCACAGTAAGTGTTAATGTAATTTTTCTCGTTGCTTCTGTTTCTCTCCCGCGAGTGAGCAACTGGCCGGAGAAGACGGCTGTAATTCAGGTTATTGTTTTGGTGCAAGCGAGTCATTTGTGAGTAAAATATCTGTTTTTTCGAATATGATGTTCTGTTGGTTTATGTCTTGACGCGGTTCCGTCCAGGTATGCAACAGGTTTACAAGGGATTTCTGAGGGTATTGTGCCCGCATTTTCTTCTTGTCATGAAAACCCACAAAGTGAAAATCTTACTTATCATCCCTGATCATTTTTTTTGTCCCGCTTCAAAAAAACCTATTGCTTTCAATTATTCCACTTTCTGAAGTTCACTGATTATTTGGTCAAGCTTAACAAATGCAACAGGCTCTTTAGAATTTAATATACATATTGGAAAACTAAGAATTATGCTTGTTACATGATTTTAGATCTGTTGATTAAAATGGGACACTATAGTCTTGTAGTCCACCGGATTTGACCAGAGGTTAGAGATCAACAAGGTTATGGTTTGTTATAAAATATCCTCTTGTATGGGATTTGATGTTACATCCGAATAATACTAAATTATTGTCTTTAACTCTGGGGTTGCCTTTAAACCAAAGGCATTGTAACTTTGAGGAGCACTTTTCTCCAAGTCTTCTCTGTGGGGACCCTCAAACAATTCTATTAGACAAGGTTTGGCCCAAAATAATAATGATTACTGCACTTGGCATGGACACAACATAAGTTTTCCAAAGTTCTTTTTCATAGCCGGTTCTTCATGTTTCTATTGAATGTTAGGCATAGAAATTTCATTGTTAAAAGCATTTGTATTTAGTGCCAGGCGTCCGTGCGCCTAAGGACTGGAAACCATATATGACGTTTTGATGACGTAAGAGAAAAACCATGTGCGAAAAAAGCTAGAAAAGTAATCGGCGTTACGAACTCGAGAGTTGTAAAAGTTAAGGAAATTTATGAGCAAAATATACGTGGGATACTCTCAAGCAGTGTCAATATCCTGTGTAACATTCTGGGGGCCTGTCCGGGAGGATTCATCGAAGGAATTAGATGCAGTACAAGTTTCAATGGTCGACGAACGTTGTGTGCTAGGATTTGTGTGGATCGCTGTCCAAGATATTTATTTTGGTCTTGATTTAGCGAGCAGGAAACAGTGGTTTGTAGCGTAGGCGGACATTTGGTGTGAACAGCTAGTCAAGAGATAGTGGAACGCAGCTTTGAGGCCAGGAAAGGTATGAATGTTGTTTTGTTGGATGCTATGTGGGTTTTGTGATCGTTTTAAGTAGAAGCAAGATGGCGGAGGAAAGCCTCATTCTTTTAGACAAGAAAATATTGTCGATGGAATTGAGCGCTTTAAGTGAATTTGCTTTGCATGTTAAAGTGGAAAAGTCGGTAGTAGAGGGCAAGGGGAAATTAAGTGTTATTCGGTCCATCAGGCGCAAAATTGAGGATTCAGTTGATGCTCTGACCGGCGATGACCAAATTGATTATGTTGACGGGTTAATGGCACACTTGGGTCCTCCGCCACTCGAGGGAATGGAAGATAAGTATGGGGAAGAAGGATTACAAAACGAAAACGACCTAAAGAAGCTCAAAGAAGAACTAGGTGATTTAGAATCTAAGCAGCAATTAGTGGAGGAGAAACTAGCCAAAATGCAGAAAGAAAAGCTGACTGGCAGAGTAAAGGAAGAAGAGACAATCAAGTTTCCTGTAAAGGGGATTGAGCAGAGCATATTACGTAGAGATTTTAAAATACAGGGAGTGGTAGGCGACCCCGGTCAGAAAGAAAAGCTGGGTTACCAAGCCCTAATATCACAAATAGAAGCAGGGCTTACCAAGGGATACTCCGATAAAGAAGTTGTTAGTGCCGTAGTTCGTGCTGTACAGCCAGGTCTACAACTAAGAAGCTATTTAGAGACCATGGTTGACCTCACCCTACCAAGGTTGCGTAAAATTCTTCGCTTCCATTTTCATGAAAGAAATGCCACAGAACTTTATCAGCTTTTAACAAATATTGCCCAGCAGCCTAATGAAGATCCTCAGTCATTTTTGATGAGAGCACTAACCGTTAGACAGAAGATTATTAGTGCTTCAAAAGAGTCGGACAGTGGGATTAAGTATGACGCCTCTTCAGTACAAAGTTTGTTCCTGCATGCCGTGGAAACAGGTCTTGCTGACGAAACCATTCGTGCAAAAATAAGGCCACTCACTCAGAACCCAAAGTTCGCAGATGAAGACCTCATTGGAGCTATGAGCCTAGCCATATCTGCAGAAGCAGAGCGAAGTAATAAGTTCAATCTTGCCAGCAAGGGGAAATCTGTAAAGGTGTCCGCTATCGAAAATGCAGCTGAATCAAATACAAAGAAAGAGCTACAGAAGGACCAGCAGGTTCTAGCTACACTAAAAGCTGTGCAAGCAGAGTTGGCTACCATGAAGGCAGAAGTTAAAAACCTGCGTGAAGCAGCAAGCAACCAGAAGGCAGACCCTATGATGCCCAGTCATGCTGGAAATGGAGTGAGAATTGGAGCAAGGCCACTTGGTTGCCAAGAGTGTAGGAGGAAGAGGGAAGGTGACCGATGCCCACATTGCTACCTCTGTGGTGGCTTGTACCATGTTGCACGCTACTGTCAGTCAAGGTCCAGAAATTATCCGGGAAACGCACCCAGGCTACCCCCGCGGGACAGGGAGTAGCCTCGCCAGAAAAAGAGAAGTCCCACCAGTGTAGTGGTTGCCTGAAGTTTGATTGTCACACACAATTATTACAGTGTTCAGGGTGCCAGTCTGTTCGGTATTGTTCTGTTCTTTTTTAGAAAGCCCATTGGCCAAAACACAAAGTGTTGTGCAAAGCAATCAAGGAACTCTCTGAGAGAGGATCTTTCAAAGAAAAGGGATTAGGAGATGCCCAAGATAGTGGTGTGTATGCTAGCCACATTTCACCCAGACAACAGGAGCGCATAGCCAAACTGGTGGGAAAGAAGTGTTCAGTGAAGTGCTACCTGGACGAGAAGCCTACAGAAGCTTTATGGGACACAGGGGCCCAAGTATCAATTTTTTCAGCAGACTTTCTGAAGAGCCAACTACCAGCAGTCCAAGTAAGGGATATTGAACAGTTACTTGGCACAGATGGATCCATAAACTTGCAAGCAGCAAATGGAACAGATATTCCTTACTGTGGGTGGGCAGAGATTAGTGTACGATTAGCAAATGAAAAGGAGACGGAAGTAAGAGTTCCATTCTTAATAACAAGGGAGAACATTGACCAACCTATCATTCGTTTTAATGTTATAGAACTAATGGTCAGGAACACTGAAGAGGAAAATGATGATGTTCTGCTTAACGGGATGTCGAAAAGCTTTAAACTGAGCAAAAGCGGTGACACACAAGTATTGATCAGCCTTATCCGTACTTCTAATTCTGATGAACTTTGTCAAGTTAAATCTTCAAAGAAGCCACAGATTCTCCCTGCGGGGCAGACTGTTCACCTACCGTGTCGTGATAACACTGGACCAATCCACCGTAAGACGCCTGTCCTGTTTGAGCCTGATGAGCTGGCTACTTGGCCTTCAGGATTAGCAGTACATGAATCCCTTACCACTGTGAAGGAGGGCAATGCAACCATTCTATCAGTTACAGTGACCAACAACACTAACCACAACATCACCCTGCCTGGAAGAGTTGTTTTGGGGCGCCTTCAGCTTGTACGATCAGTGACTCCTGTTGAAGTCAGGTTTAAGGATCCGGAGACACCAACTCCATGTGAGAGACCTCCCTGTAAACAAGACGCACCTGCCGAGCAAATTGAGAGCAACGTGCCTTGGTTACCTGAAGTTGATTTGAGCGGACTGACGGCAGAACAAAAGGAGCAGGCGAAGCAGTTGTTGGTTGAAGAAGCAGATGCATTCGCAATGAGTGATGATGACGTTGGCTGCGTTCCCGAACTAGAGATCGACATTGGATTGACTAGCGATCAGCCAGTGCAGAAGAATTACATTTCCATACCCCGTCCACTCTACCCGGAAGTGAAAGATTATATCGAGGACTTACTCAACCGAGGCTTTATCCGGAAGTCCAAGTCGCCATTCTCAAGTAGTGTTGTCTGTGTTCGCAAGAAAGATGGTGCAATGAGGTTATGCATAGACTACAGAGAATTAAATAAGAAGACGGTGCCTGATCGGCATCCCATTCCTCGGATCCAAGAAGTATTAGATAGTCTAGGGGGCAAGTCCTGGTTTAGTGTTTTGGATCAGGGAAAGGCCTATCATCAGGGTTTTGTTGGAAAGAAAAGTCAGCCACTTACTGCCTTTGTTACACCTTGGGGATTGTATGAATGGGTGCGGATACCCTTCGGTCTTATGAATGCGCCAGCGAACTTTCAGAGATTTATGGAGAACTGTCTTGGAGAGTTGCGTGATGAGATGTGCATCCCTTACTTGGACGATGTGATCGTATTCTCAGAGACATTTTCTGAACACATTGAACATCTTCGTAAAGTTCTTCGCCGGTTGAAAAGTTATGGTGTAAAGCTCAAGCCTAGAAAGTGTTCATTGTTCAAACGGGAAGTGTCCTTCCTGGGGAGAGTTATCTCTCAAGACGGGTATCAGATAGATCCCAAATCAACAAATGCTGTGACTGCGATGAAGAATTTACAACCGCGAACTGTTGGGCAAGTAAGAAGACTCATGGGCCTACTTGGTGTGTACCGTCGCCGTGTCAAAAACTTTGCACAAATAGCAAGGCCCATTTATTACCTTCTCAACCATGACCTGCCGGGGAAGAAGAATGCTTCTTCGACCAGACAGAACACCAGGCTACGTAGTGGACAGCTACCACCTTCGTCACCAGTGGACTGGGGACCCCAACACCAGTCTGCACTGCATGCCTTAGTAGATAAAGTAACGTCACGCCCTCGGTTGGCATATCCAGATTATAATGCCCCATTTATTGTACACACCGATGCATCACAGGATGGCTTGGGAGCTGTTCTCTACCAGAAACAGAATGGCTGTACAAGAGTCATCGCGTATGCATCTAGGACTCTCACCCCATCTGAGCGCAACTACCATATGCATTCGGGAAAGTTAGAATTCTTAGCTCTAAAATGGGCAGTGACAGAACAGTTTAGGGACTATCTCTATTATGCCCCTGAATTTGTGGTTTATACGGACAACAACCCGTTAACTTATGTTTTAACGTCTGCCTAGTTAAATGCCACGGGATTGAGATGGGTTGGAGAGTTTGCTGACTTCAACTTCGAAATACGGTATCGACCAGGCAAGTTGAACGTGGACGCCGATAGCCTTTCCCGATTGCCCAGTGACTTTAACACTTACATGGACAGTTGTACTGAGAGAGTACCCCGTGAAAGCTTGAATGCCTCAATCTCTGCAATTCAGACATTGTCGAATGGAGACTCAACTTGGCTCACGTCCCTGACCGATGAAGAAGAGGAACTGTATCAGGTTGACTCTTTGTCACAAGCAGCCTGCAATCAAGTAACGGTGGTAGATTTCGTGAAAGCACAGAGAGAAGATCCCCACATTGGGCGTGTCCTTAAGTTTATCAAGACAAACCACAAACCGACGGTTGCAGAAAAGTACAAGGAACCACCTTTGACTCGTAAGCTCCTAAACGAGTGGTATAAACTCCATGTAAACAGGAAGAGTGGATTACTTTATCGCAACCAGCAGGTAGTTCTTCCACAGAAATTTCGTCGCACTGTTTACCGTGAACTCCATGAAGAAATGGGCCACCTCGGTGTTGAGAGAGTACTAGCACTAGCCCGAGAAAGATTTTATTGGCCAAACGTGAGAAGAGACATAGAAAACGTCATCCATCACACATGCTGCTGTCTGAAACAGAGACGTCCTAATTTAACAACTAGGGAACCATTACAGCCTATCATCACAGCGGCTCCTTTCCAATTGGTTTCTATTGACTTTGTGCACCTAGAGCGGAGTTCAGGGGGCTATGAATACATACTAGTTGTTGTAGATCATTTCACTAAATTTGCTCAAGCATACCCGACGAGGAATAAGACCGCTATTACGGCTGCCGACAAGATCTTCAATGACTTTATTCCTCGCTTTGGATTCCCTGAGAGGATCCATCATGACATGGGAGGCGAGTTTGAAAACCGGTTGTTCAAGAGGCATGAAGAACTGTCTGGAGTAATGCACTCTCGGACTCCTCCATATCATCCACAAGGAAATGGTTTGGTGGAAAGGATGAACCGTACACTACTCAGTATGCTGCGAACCCTCCCTGAAGCTCACAAACCTAGCTGGAAGGACCATGTACACAAACTCATTCATGCATACAATTGCACTATTCACGAGTCAACAGGTTATTCTCCCTTTTTTCTGTTGTTTGGTCGGAGTCCTCGTCTGCCAATTGATGTAATCTTTGATCTCGAAGCTGAAACAGGGGCCAAGTCACATGCGGAGTATGTTACCAAGTGGAAATCTGCGATGCAAGAAGCTTACTCACTCGCGTCCAAATCTGCTACGAAGAGTGCCATGAGAGGGAAAAGAAATTATGACAAACGAATGAGATCATCAGCACTGCAAGTGGGAGACCGTGTCCTGGTGCGCAACCTTACTCCTCGTGGTGGACCCGGAAAACTCCGTTCCTTTTGGGAAGATAAGATTCATGTAGTCGTTGCGAGAAAGGGTGAGGGAAGCCCAGTGTATGATGTGAGACCAGAATCAAGTCAAGGACCAAGCCGTACCTTACATCGAAACCTCTTACTTCCTTGTGATTATCTGCCAGGGAAACCATGGGAAGACCCCCCTCCTATAAAGAGGACAAGACCACCAACACCCTACCATTGCTATGAAATCCAGCCATTAAGACGTGAAGATGACAACCACGAAAGTGACAGCGATGATGATCTTCCAGCCATCTCATACTGTAACCATTCACCAGAAAATGACCAAATGCAGATGCAAGTACAGTCTACAAGCGAGGAAACGGTGGGTGAAGAACCAGACTTCACACATGTGCATTCAGGTGAGGTGTCAAGTGAAATGCGCACGGTAGCTAACATTGCTGACACTCCCACACACTGATGAGGCACAGTTGAATGAAGAACCTCAAGTAGTCAGTGAGGAGGTGGACAATTGCGAGGATACCAACAACCCAGGTCGACCCCAACGTGTGAGGCAGCCACCTAAACGACTCACTTATGACAGTCCTGGGGCGCCAACTTATGTGCGGCCTATCAATGTTAACCCATCCGGAGGGACACAGCAGTGTGGAATGCAGACATCACCAGAGCCTTACATTCCCAAACTTCCAGCGGACCAGTACAGTACGCTGCCACCAGTCTTGAGTTATATTCCTCCACCGGTACCACCTATGATGCCCTGGAACCCGAGCGTGATGTTGCCTTATATGATGCCCTATCTAGCAGGACCGCAGTTGCCACAATGGGGAGCGCCTTATCAGTTGTTTCAGTACAGATAAACAGTGACTTTTGTTTTTTTTTGTCGATTACCTTGTAAAAAAAAAAAGAGATTTCCTTGGTGTATTTAAACATTCGTTGTGTGGATGCTGTAAACGCTATCTTGAAATAGTCGTCGTATTACAGAATCGTGAACATTAGTATGGACAGACAAGCTGAGACGTAAATTAAGTGGTTTGTAAGGAGCTGGGCCTGATCACCCCACTCCAGGATTTAACAAGCAAGAAATCCAAAACCGCAAACTACTGTTGTAAAAGGGACTATTCGGTATTACATGCTAAATGTCACGGATGACATTTCTTTTTTTAAGTTAGGGAGGAGTGTTAGGCATAGAAATTTCATTGTTAAAAGCATTTGTATTTAGTGCCAGGCGTCCGTGCGCCTAAGGACTGGAAACCATATATGACGTTTTGATGACGTAAGAGAAAAACCATGTCCGAAAAAAGCTAGAAAAGTAATCGGCGTTACGAACTCGAGAGTTGTAAAAGTTAAGGAAATTTATGAGCAAAATACACGTGGGATACTCTCAAGCAGTGTCAATATCCTGTGTAACATGACCAGCACTTTCAAGAAAACAAAGCTCACACACCAGAGTAAAGATACAATAAAAGTTATTTATTGTTACATTTTGTTTTTTGTAAATAAACATTTTATTTTAGGTCCGGACAGTTAATTCTTTCCGTATTACTGTTTTTGATTCTAACCTGCATGACTCGCTGCCATGGCTCGCTGGCTTGCATATTATACACACTCTTTTATCTCAAAATCTTGTTTTTTTAACACCTTCTTGGACATGAAAATCAAAAACCAAAACTTAATTGATATAATGAAGACAGTAGCAGCTGACATCGATTTTCAATAGTTATCTTGTGAGATGTCTCTCATGTATTATTTATTAGGGAGGATGATTTGTTGAAGATGATGCATTAACACAGATGCTTTTTCATCAAGAGAATCTCAATAATTTAGGATTTATTCAAATACACACATATTCGATATTATGACATTAAAAGTGGGCTTATTGCTCATGCACAGGGATTGATGGGGGAGAGTGTGGCATTTTTCATGTTTGAGATTGACCTTTTGCACAGCACAGGGACTGAACATATTATGTATTTGGCATCAGTAAAGTATAAACAATATTTGACGCGAGGGATTGAACATTATGTAGAGAAAATCTTCACAAGCCTCCACTTCCATGACTCCTTCCTCATCTATCTCCTTTAACCCTTTAAGTCCCAATGGTGTCCAACATCAATTTTCTCCTAACCATATCCATTCATTGTCAAGAGATTTGGTTATGAGAATTAATAAATTGATCACCTACGAGAAAATGCTTTGATCTTTCATCAAATTCTCTCAACTTATTCTTTAAGAAAATGTATAAAGATCAGTTTGGAGAATTTGTATGTGGATATTGGGGCTTAAAGGGTTAAAGCCCCTTGAATAAAGGGCCACAGTCTCTTCTATGGTTGAATGGTCATTGAAAGTGAGCTTCCACTCACAAGGTATATAAGCCCCCCCTCCAACCTGTTTCCCTCTTACCCATTTTTGAAAGGGTCAAAGGAGGGGCTTTTGTGGTAGGTAAGCCTGTGACCACACTACAAAGAAACAAAAAAAACATGTTTAATTTTATTGAGGTAGGGTTGAATTTGGACATTAAATTTTGCATTACAGTGGAACATAAGGCGAACCTAAAGCAATATTTTGCCCTCAGAGCACAACTATGTCGTTCTGAAGATATTTAGCATTTTGTCTTCAAGGTTCCTTTTCCCAGCTTTTTGGCACAAACGCGACAACATGTTTGTAATATCTCCAGATGTTTGTCAACATTTTTGACGGAAATCCTGATCAAAACAAAAGAAATCAATATAAGAACCTACTCACACTGATTTAAAACTCATTCCACACACAAAGTGATTTCTAGCTGAGAGTCGACGGTGAACACGACCAAAAACAGACCTGATCGAATGTAACTAAAACTACATAGACAGACTAAGGCATAACCATCAATGTCAGTAACCCTTCCTGTCCGTTGGCAATTTTCAATGTGTGGTTGCCATTTTTACTAGGTTGTTGCCATCGATGAAACTTTGCCTGAACACACTTTACACGTTGTAGTTTTGAGGAAAATTAGTCTTGATTTCGTAAAAATTCGGCAAGATACGGAAAACTAAACATAAAGTCATGTACTTACATGAGATACCAGTCAAGATGGCGGCGGCGAAGTCGAAGGTCATTTGAAAACTGTCGCTTTTAACTACCGAAATGTGGCAGGAAACTTCCCTTGACATTCAAAAAGCAAGGAGAAGGCTTCTTCATCGGTACTGCTAGCTCGGAAGTCCCGAATATTGAATGAGGAGACCTGGAACAGGCTTTGAAAAAGCTCCCTTGTTTCTTGCGATTATTTTTTCCTATTTTTGCGTGTTTTTAGCAGAACAATGGAATCATGACGTCATCGCTTCTTCCAAAACTGGCATACTCCCGAACTGTCTACGTGAGCTAAGTTTAAAGTCGTTAACTCTTAAGACTGTCATGCTGTTTGCATTAGCCTCTGCACAGAGACAGCAGGCATTATCTGCTTTAGATCTAAATTTAAGAAAGGAATCTCAAGATCCAATTAGCTTTGTTGTGACTGATCGGTTAAAGACTTCCAGGCCAGGGAAGTCTATTGAGATCACATTTTCGTCTTCAGGTTGTGCTTCAATTTGCCCGCTTGCCGCATTAAAGGAGTATATTTCTCGCTCTGAAACGCTTAGGTTTCGTAGTGGACATTTTGTTTCTAAATTGTTTTTGTCCTTCATTAGGCCATACAACCCCAGTGTCCCCTAGGACAATGGCAAGGTGGATCATGTCAGTGTTACAGTCCGCAAGGAATTACACTTCGAAATTTAAGGCACACAGTGTAAGAGGGGCTGCCACATCTCATGCGTACGTCACAGGCACCCCAGTTGCAGATATCCTTAAGATGGCAATTTGGTCTAGTGAGCATGTTTTTCGCAGACATTATTTTTGAGATGTTCTGGTCTAAGAGTAGGTGTAGGCGTTTATCCTAATAAATGCCTTATTTTGCTGTATATGGAATTGTTTAGTGTTTTTAGGCCGCAGTTCTTTAAAATCCCATGATTATCCCATAATGCGGAGCGTATAGAAATGGAAATGAAAATTAGACGAGAGGTACTTACCTTGAAGTGTAATTGAAGTTTTCCTAAGATATGTGGAGCATTATGGGAAAATGCTTCCCAACCCTGTCTCTTTTTCCTTTTTTGATGTTCCCACCCTTAGTTCTTTTGAGGACCTCGCTCTCCAAGAAGAACTGGTTATCACGCCGCCTCCTGGGGTTTATATCACTGCTAATTTGCATTTGAATAACTTCTTTTAAACGTGACCGCTGACCAGTAGGTAGGTAGGAAGTACGCATAATTAACCCATAATGCTCCACATATCTTAATAGAACTTCAATTACACTTCAAGGTAAGTACCTCTCGTCTAATTTTCATTTATGTGTTAGCTTCGAATTAAAAATTACCGCTGAATACGATCATTAACGACACATTCATAAGGATCACCCTAGATATAAAGTAAAATATTTAGAAATCCGGCAAGTAAGTGCTTGAAATTTGAATATGCACAACAGACAGAGTAATAACACAATAGGCAGAGTAATGAAAAGGCCTTTTTCTCGTTGGAATATATTAATTCAGCGGTCATAGAGAATTCGAAACTGGACTATTTCAAGCAAGAATACACAGGTGAGATGTCGGAGACAGTGGAAACGTGAAACCCAGCGTGAAACCATAAAATTCTGGAAGCGATGGTATTCTACCACGAGTGATCTCAAGCCAAGTCAGGTCAAGTCAAGTAACTTTTTTTAAATTCGGTAAAAACATCAGGCATATAACTAATTTTAAATTCTACGCTATTCTTGTAATATATATCTAGCTGGATTTATGAAAACCGCACCAACTGCCTCCTCGGGGCCACACACCTTAAACCTACTCAACTAAAGTGAATATTGCCAAGAAACTCAGCTCTTACCCATGGTTCTCTTAAGGTGACTCTCTTCTCGGTTCCTGATTAGCAAAGAAACATTCAAAGTCCATCAAAAAGCACAAATGTCCAGTGCTGGCCACAAGATCCCTACTTTCCTTTTTCATCCTTAGTTCCACACTTCTCAGAGGTGTGGAAGTGTGGAACAGTCTGACAAAGTAAGGATATTGTCGCACTTTCCCCCAGTCATGAACCCTTTGTCATTCTTTACTTAGTTCCACACTTCTCAGAGGTCTGGAAGTCTGGAATAGTGTGACAAACTAGGGATATTGCCACACTTTTCCCCCAGTCATGAACCCCTTGTCATTCTTTACTTTGTTCCACACTTCTCAGAGGTCTGGAAGTGTGGAAAAGTCTGACAAAGTAAGGATATTGTCGCACTTTTCCCCCTATTAAGAACCCCTTGTCATTCTTTACTTAGTTCTACACTTCCCAGAGGTCTGGAAGTGTGGAAACGTCTGACAAAGTAAGGATATTGTCTCACTTTCCCCCAGTCATGAACCCTTTGTCATTCTTTACTTAGTTCCACACTTCTCAGAGGTCTGGAAGTGTGGAAAAGTCTGACAAAGTAAGGATATTGTCGCACTTTCCCCCAGTCATGAACCCTTTGTCATTCTTTACTTAGTTCCACACTTCTCAGAGGTCTGGAAGTGTGGAAAAGTCTGACAAAGTAAGGATATTGTCGCACTTTTCCCACAGGCACTAACCCCTTGTAATTCTTTACTTAGTTCCACACTTCCCAGAGGTCTGGAAGTGTGGAAAAGTCTGACAAAGTAAGGATATTGTCGCACTTTTCCCCCTGTTAAGAACCCCTTGTCATTCTTTACTTAGTTCTACACTTCTCAGAAGTGTGGAAGTGTGGAAAAGTCTGACAAAGTCAGGATAATGTCACACGTTTCCCCCTGTTAAGAACCCCATGTCATTCTTTACTTAGTTCTACACTTCCCAGATGTGTGGAAGTGTGGAAGAGTCTGACAAAGTCAGGATAATGTCACACTTTTCCTCTGGTCATACGAAACCACTGTCATTCTTTACTTAGTTTTACACTTCTCAAAGGTGTGGAAGTATAAAATAGTCTGACAGAGTCAGGATATTGTCGCACTTTCCCCCAGTCACGAATCCCTTGACATTCTTTCCGGCTTAGTTACACTCCTATGTATGAAATGAGAATAAAGCGCAGTGGGAGTATTTGTTGGTTTTATTCCTGCAACTCGTTTTACATATTTTTAAATGCTATTTTAAGTTTAGACAACAATTCTATGACTAGAAGATATTACCCTTGTTTCACTGCCATCTGTTTGAATACCCGACCATAAAACAAGCCTACGTTTTTTCTGTCACGTTCAGTCCCCGTCAGTCCTTTATCGTCGTTTATTTATTTATTTATTTTTTAACGGAAACCTCAACAACGTCATCTCATCTATGGATTTTTATGTTTGAAATTTTTCATCTTAATGTGCCATATATGAGACGTCTTATTCTGGGTTTTTCTCCTTCCTATAGATCTATTCGGCTGACTCAATGTCGTACCCAATTCAAACCCTTTGGGTATGAAACGTTTTGTTTTAGGTATTTCCGTATCATTTAAATGTGAATGCCACATTATAACGCACATACAATACACAAAGAATCTGAACCCCGGGAGCTTTCAATTGGGTACAACAGTCAGGTCTCTTAAGATCGTGACAACGCTAAAAATAGGCAGTAAAGAATGCAGAGTATGTGCGTTCTATCTTCCTCGCTTTAAGATCAACTTGATAAAGTTTATAAATGCTCATATCAATTGTTATTGTTCTATTCCTTCATCAGGTTCATGACCTAAATTGGTCTAAAAATATACAGCATTCTGTATAAAGTAATAATTGTGACTTATCGGCCTAGAGTAGCTACCTGCAGATCTCTCTGTGGAAAAGGGGTATCACTGTTTAGGTGCGTGTTATAGGGTCGGCAATATTTATGTTATCTCTACGGCACGTGACAATACTAAACTATTTGCATGGTCCACCCTCCTCTTCGTGTTTAGAGAGTCACCCTAAAGTGAATTCTTTTTCGAGGTTTCTTGGCCTCGAGCCGCTCGCCTCCGAGCGTGGTGTTGCTTCTTTTTCATAATTTATGTCCAGCATTTACATAACCTTAGAGAAGAGGAAAAACTGCGAAACAGTGGATATATGGCGTGATCTAACAATTATCAAATTTGAATCCGTACTGATAAAGAAGAAAGCTTGGTTGGAGATCGGATTTCTTAACTTTAAGTTTCTTTGAACAGCTGGCATTGAAACAATGGTTATATCTGCTATTCATAATAAAAATAGTTCTTAAGGAAAAATGTAAAAAAACCATACAGAAATAAAACCAAGTGCTCATAAAGCGCACTGAGCTTCTCGTGACTCAGGGAAAGTGTGACATTACACTCAACTTGTCAGACTATTCTACCCTTCCACACCTCCGAGAAGTGTGGAACTAAGTAAAGAATGACAAGGGGTTCTTAACAGGGGGAAAAGGGCGACAATATCCTTACTTTGTCAGACTATTCCACAGTTCCACACCTCTGAGAAGTGTGGAACAAGGTAAAGAATGACAAGGGGTTCATGACTTGGGGAAAAGTGCGGCAGTATCCTTAGTTTGTCACACTATTCCACACTTCCACACCTCTGGGAAGTGTAGAACTAAGTAAAGAATGACAAGGGGTTCTTAATAGGGGGGAAAGTGCGACAATATCCTTACTTTGTCAGACTTTTCCACACTTCCAGACCTCTGAGAAGTGTGGAACAAAGTAAAGAATGACAAGGGGTTCATGATTGGGGGAAAAGTGCGACAATATCCCTAGTTTGTCACACTATTCCACACTTCCAGACCTCTGAGAAGTGTGGAACTAAGTAAAGAATGACAAAGGGTTCATGACTGGGGGAAAGTGCGACAATATCCTTACTTTGTCAGACTTTTCCACACTTCCAGACCTCTGGGAAGTGTAGAACTAAGTAAAGAATGACAAAGGGTTCATGACTGGGGGAAAGTGCGACAATATCCTTACTTTGTCAGACTTTTCCACACTTCCAGACCCCTGGGAAGTGTGGAACTAAGTAAAGAATGACAAAAGGTTCATAACAGGGGGAAAGTGCGACAATATCCTTACTTTGTCGGACTACTCCACACTTCCACACCTCTGGGAAGTGTAGAACTAAGTAAGAAGTGAAGAAACTCTGGATTTCATGGCCAGGGCTGGACATGGCTCTCAAAAAGGCACTCTGGACTTGGCCATACACTCTAGCTGTGTGAAGGCTCTACATGACGGATATGGTAGCCAAATAGTAGCAAAATTCAAGAGAGAAAATATATGTCAAAATCAACAACTTGATACCTAATTCAACACATATTTCTCAACATTAACACCAACTTTAAGAACGTTATCAACGTCAACGTCAGCTTTTCAACTTCAACATTGCAATCAGTCTTAAATAAACGACGACAAATCGCCTCAACAAAAACCATGTTGCTTCACTATCAACTCTTTCTGATTTTCAAATTAAGTCACGAACCAAAAGCTTTCAAGATCAACAAACAAAAATTCGTGTCAACAAATTGAGTCTGAGTTAGCCCCTTGTTACCGCGAGGGACTTGGAAACTAAATACCTGTCCGTATGAGCAAGATGGCGGATGGCAGTTATCGCCGTGAGGTCCGTGGTACAGAGAGCGAGTTTATTCTTTACAGATTTAGAAAAGTTGTTGTGTGAATATGAGCAGCATCAGTTAGCGAGTGACATTTCTTTAAAGGAAAACTTAACTATTCGATTGGAAAATGCAGTCCAAGCTTTGCAAAATCTATCTCCATTTGTATCAGACGCCAACAGTGAAGCAGTTCTCGAAGTGACCAGGAATTTCCAGTTGATGTTTTGGAACTGCTATCGAAGGTGTGAATTTCCCAGTTGAACAAGATGCTCACAAGTAGCTGTTTTGTCCCTTTCTTCACCAAATAGAGTAGTTAATGGACAAGTTGGAAGGCCAAAATATGACATAAAGGAGGAGACATTGATTGAGCTCCGTTCTCTGGGTTTCAGTTGGGAAGATATCTCTCACATGTTGCTTGTCTCACGCTGGACAGTTCACCGCAGAGTATCCGACTTTGGTCTCAACCACCTGCCACGCTTTAGTGACGTCGCTGATGAACAATTGGACAGCAAAGTAAGTGCATTGCAGAGAGAACATGGCTGTTTAGTCGGTTCTTCAATGGTTTTAGGCCAATTGAGATCTGAGGGGTTAATAATACAGCAAGAGCGGGTACGTAAATGCCTTGCACGTGTAGACCCTCAGAATGTCTGAATACGTTGGGCAATAACAGTGTCAAGACGAGCATACTCAGTTGCTGGGCCAAACAGCCTCTGGCACTTAGATGGCCATCATAGCCTTGTTAATTGGGGGTAATCCACGGCGCAATTGATGGGTTTTCAAGATTGGTGACCTTCTTGCACTGCTAAACAAACAACAGAAGTGATACAGTGGGGGACCTGTTTTTGAATGTAACCCAGGTGTATGGATGGCCATCCAGAGTGCGAACAGGTCATGGTGGAGAGAATAGGCAAGTTTGGAAATTGATGGAAGAGAGAAGAGGACCAAACAGGGGAAGTTGCCTGGTAGGTTCTTCGACTCATAATCAGCGAATTGAGCGCCTTTGGTGAGATGTCTTTAGATGTGTAGCACATATTCTACTATACATTCCAAGCAATGGAAGAAAGTGGATTACTCCAGATAGATAACCTCCTGCACAAATTTACTCTTCATTACATCTATCTGTCACACATAAACACGGCACTTTCAAGTTTTACCTCTGCCTGGAATAATCATCCATTAAGAACAGAAAATAACTGGAGCCCTGAGAGGATTTGGGTTAATGGGATGATTGATGTGAGAAATCATCAATTGATGGCGGTTGCTGTGAATTACTGTATCTAAAGATGCATTACCGTTCCTTAGAGTTATGCAAGACTCAGACTTTGTCTGGAAGCCTTGATTATGACAAGACACTCTCTTTAAGCTCTCAGGCTCGTTCTGATTTACAATGGGTCATTGAGAATATTACCCAGTGCAATGGTAGACTTTTTCAGTTTCCGAAAATTGATATTTACATCGGGAGTGATGATGGTTGCTGGGATTGTGGAACAAGAGCCATCTTTTGATGATTTATCTTGGTATGGCTATGACCCTTCAGCACCTCCTTTTTCCACCTCCACAGTTAATTAATGTTGAGGATGTAGAAAGTGAAATTCCAGGAAATGTTATACACGATCTAAGAGCAACTATCAATCCAATTCAGCTGTCAAATAGCTATGGGATAGATCTCTTCACTGACTGTCTTAATTTTTTGCAATCATATTAAATCGTTAATTACAAATAGAACTAAATGAGAGAGCCTTAGTTGTCGTAGAGTATGTACTGCAAATTAATTTCCCATGATAAAACTTTAATTGCAGAGCTAACAGTTAAGGATTATCATGCAGTTCCTTGTTTTTCATTAATCTTCGGTAGTATTGTAGGCACGTCAACTGAAACTTGCATGTTAGTTTTCCATAGTGCATGGCCATGTAGTCAAGACAAACTTGCTGAAGATAAGACTTCACAGGAATTATTCAGCCACCAAGACAATCAGCTGAAGGTCGCTGCTCTTAGTGGTTCAGGGGAAGGGGGGCTTCATGTTAAAAAAAAGTATATATCTGTAAATATTTCCTGCAAACAAACTTGAACCCAAACAGTTCAAGCATACTAATAAATTAAAAAACTAGGAAAAAACGTAGATCGCAGCAGTAAGATCAGAAAAAAAAAGTTAAAAAGAATTTACTCCCTCACTGTTAAGTTATTAACTTTATTAAATAACAAACCCAACAGTTACAAAGTGTTTTGAACCTAAAAGTAACTGTCAGCAACATCAACGATAAAAATAAGTAGTTCTAATGAACATGCTGTTGTGTCTCTTTCCTCTAAACTCATGCAATAATATTCAAATTTCAATAAACACAACATTTCAATCTGACAAAAAGATTTATAAGATTCTTAAGTGTCATCATTTCTTCTCACTGTGATTTAAACTTGATTAACCATGCTTCCCTTTAAAGGATATTGCTTTAAGTTTTCAACTTGCCACCAATGTATGTTGGTATTAAATTAGTTATCAATATCAACTTTTTAAAGACAAATGAACATGCAAACAAAATAATAATTCATCAGAATAGCTGAGAGTAACATGTCCTGGATTGCCGCTAAACTTTTTCGACCCCATTTAAAAAACTGCTAGCATGCATCATTTCTCACAAAGGCAAGTTTCCTTACAAGCCAAAGATTAAGCTCCACATTAAGGACAAGCACGTCTTATTTTTACATAAGAAACATTCATGTAACTTGTAGTTGAAAACACGTCACTACATTTTGAGAACTGAAAGTGCAACTGTACTTTTTACTCATTCCCCTGTGGGCTACACATGAGTTTTTCTGTCTTTCTTAGCTCCTTTAGTTAGTGTTATTTTATCAATCAAGAATTGAGCTGTTGTGAATGAGGAACCTTAATACCTTTCTCATAGCTAAATCAAAGGCAGTATAATTCTCAAAATGGTTTGGCAGCTTCTATTCAAGTAAACATGTTGATGCAAAAATGCTGTCAACACTATATATGGCAAGATACTGAAATACGATGTGGCAAGTTAGACATGGAAACTTCAGATGTTCCAGTAACAAACTTAAGAAAATTTTTTTCTGCCATCTAAAGATAGATTTCTTAAGAAAGTCTGTAGCATTTGGTAAACTCGGTCACCAATTGTCTCCAGGTCTCTAGACTCTTGAAAATGCAAACAGCTGATCACAAAATCATTGCTAAGGACACCCTGATGTACAAAAAAATTCTTCAAATAATGATGGATTATGTTCCATCTCAGCTAGAAAGCCCAGGGTGGAGAGACCTTTCCTGAACTCATCAAGGATAGACTTTCTCTTCACAAGTATGTCATGGATCATCAACGACTGCAGCACATCAAGCTTGTTGTCAGGCTGCAATGTTGATTACAGTCAAACCAGGTCAAGCGTACCCCCCAAGAATACATTAATGAATTTATTATTCAAAAGTTGAATCCGTTGCTAGTTGTAGATTTCATATTGATCTCTGCATTCTTGCATGTGTAATGAGCCGTGAATTCACACGCGAGGCAGTTATGAAATTTCTACGAGCTCCATTTTCCTGAAATTGATGTAAATGTCTTCTAAGAAGCTTAATCCATTCAAAGATTTCCAATCTGACCAAATACAGAGAAGTTCTCGTAAAATATTCACTGCTCATTACGCATGCAGAAATGCCGCTTTGAATTTGACACCAGTTACGGGAACGACTAACGGATTCATTTTCAAATAATCAATTCATTAATAGAATCTTGGGCGGTACGCTTGACTTGGTTTGACTGTAGTAATGGAAATTGGTCAGTAAGTCATATAGCACTCTAACATGCGACAATTGAAACCATTTATCAATTAAAGGTTTATATGACCTGCCAATACAATTCAAATATGGCATGAAGAGAAGCAGTTGAGTTTTCGTCTTTCATTTAACTATACACGCATAATTACAGAAGTTAACCGAAAAAAATAATTATTGTAAGCTGGTAAGGAAGCTTAGAATATGAGGGTAGACAAGTGAGTAATATGGAGGGTAGACTCAGTAAGAAGGGAACTTAAGATACAAACAACACCATTGGACTTGGACAAGGAGATTTTAAGAGCGACTTTCTGTAAATACCACGGATAGGTGTGCAAGATGAAAAAATCGAAATCCCCCAAACTTTGTCACAACAACATGTAAATCCTGTTTGAAAGCAAGTTTAGGGTCTCGCGCATTTGCTTACGCTTACATTTGCTGCCTTAACACGAGCCTTGCCGTGGATATTGAGTATTTCTTTGGATTATTTATTCCTATCTACTTAGTTTATCAAATGTAGGCGAACCCAAATGGAGTTGAATTCCAAGGGACCATATCCAAGTTCAAGAGCGAAAAGAAGAATAAATTTCGTCGTTGCTTGTTTGCGTTATCCATAAAACGCAAAATTAGGCATCTTCACGTCGTAGTCGTGCAAAAATGGCAAAGAAATGCAAAAGTAAAAGCGTGATGCACGTGCAAAGTTGTTGTTTTGCTTATTAAACCTATTGTTTTGCTGACGTTCTCGTTGCCGTCTTGTCGTTGGATATTCGTAGTCATCACGTGGACGCGCATGCTCGATGGAAAAGCATACGGTTGCTCGCAGTGCTCGAAGTGTAGCGTCCGGCCTGGAGAAACCACTGCTCGCAGGGTAACCGTCTGCACGTTGTCTAAAACACCTAAAATGGTGCCACATACGATATACGGTGTATAGAACGAGTGGTACCAGCCATGGTTAACCAACTGATTTGCTTAAAATGAAACAGACGTCCCACAATCCACTCAAAGTCGTCGAGCTTCTCGCTAGTGCCAAAATTGTAGGCTTTAATTATTTATTTTAAACATGTTAGCTGCAAATAAAAAGAGCTTTTTCTTTAGTATGGGCACTTATCAATTAGCTCCTGTTGTACGAATCACCGAAGGAAAAAACGTGAAATCGAGTTTTGTTATTTAAATTGAAAACCCCAGAGTCTCTTGAGGTAATTAGGTATACAAGCAATCTTGTTTTCCATTAATTTTTTTCCCTCAGCAGGTCATAGCCAGCAGCCGTTTTGGCTATTTGTGCTTCTTTCTTAGTCCATGAGAGAAGGAAGACCACAGAAATTAATAGCCGTGGCATAGATCGCTTTTCATTTGTCAGAACCGGCATGACTATTCCCATCCACTTTTGATCAAAATAATCAAAATTTTCAGTCACTTATTAAATATGCATGTGTTTGATGAGCTGTTTAGTGAAAACTCTTAAAAAAGTCTATTTCATTTCTTCCAAATGACCAGTCCAGCCGCCCCGTTCTGACTTCAATTTTGGAAAGCACCCTTAATTCTTCCTTCCGCCGGTGTTGATATAAAAGAAAAAAATTCTATTTCGTGCCCAGCAAAACCAATATATCGCCTAGAAGTAGAGAAATGGTGACCCAATAACGAATGAAAGTCCTTCTCATCTTTTTACTGATAAAGACTCCTATTTTTCACCCCTTTTAGTTTTAGCATCAACCGTAAGGTAGCTTAAGCATCGACCGTGACGGCGACGGCAACGACGACGGCAGAAAAGCAACAAGTTTAGTAACCAAAACGAAAGTCCTGCACGCGCATCACACTTTGTAAGTCGCTTGTTTTAATTTCGCTCGCTTCGCGAGGGTCCCTCGCGCGCGCCCTCGGCGCTCACTCACCCAGTCGAGTTGTGGCAAGCCTATATATCTCTTTGCCGTCACTAAACAACTACGGCGTGAAAATGCCTAATCTCACGTTTTGCGATGGACGCGAACACAAGGCAAAGACTTTCTTTTTCTTTTCCTGAACTTCGATACAGTCTCATGGAATTAAACTCCAGAAAAATTGGCCAACATTTGACGAATTGCCGATGAGTGTCGTAGTTCAGGCGAAGCCGTCGTTGTTGCCTTAGGTCTCGGGGGACACCTTGTTTGTTCAAAAGTAACGAGCGGGCTCTGAATGGAAGCAAAACTCTTTCTACGTTTCTTTTTCGCGTCAAAAATCAGCTGACTGATCTTATCTTGCTTGGAGTTTGTTCTTTAGTCGGGACAGCTTCGGGACCCTCCAAAATCTAACTTTTCGGACAATTTTCTGTCAAAGAATTAATTAGCGTAGATACAAAACTTCACGAGCTGCCCTGCAGACGGGGTAAACTTGGTAGACTGTAGCATGTATTGAGCGGAATTCTAAAAGAGCGCTTTTATAAAAAGATATAGAGCGTTAATTTGAGGGTAGATAGATAGATAATCTTTATTTATCCACGGTACAAAATTCGTCAGCTTTAAAAATGCCTAATACTAATATAATAAAAATATTTAAATAAAAAAGCTGCTTTCCACGAATGCCGTGCCTTACAGTTCTTTGAGTAATCGTTTAAATTGCCCAAGGGACTCTGCTTCCCTTAAGTTACAAGGAAGACTGTTCCAGAGAATGGCGCCACTATAGCTGAAGCTGTTTTTGTAATAGTTTGTGCGCGGTAATAGAACATTGAGTTTATTTTCAGAGT